CGGGGGGGCGGCGCCCGCTGCGCGGTGGTGGGCAACGGCGGCATCCTCAACGGCTCGCGGCAGGGCAAGGCCATCGATGCGCACGACCTGGTCTTCAGGTGCGGGCGCGTGGCGGGCAGGACGGGGCGGTGGGTGCTGGGGGGAGGCCAGCCCTGGGTACACGTCCCACGCTTTTCCTGCAGGCTCAACGGTGCCGTCATCAAAGGCTTCGAGGAGGACGTCGGGACCAAGATCTCCTTCTACGGCTTCACGGTGAACACCATGAAGAACTCGCTCATCGCCTACGAGGAGTACGGCTTCACCCAGATACCCCAGGCCAAGGTGCGACCCCGGGGGCTTGTTGAGGAGGTGACCCCAAACTGTGTGTTGCTCCCTGTCTCAGGAGCCCTCAGCCCTCGCCCTCCTGGTGTGGGCAGTGCCCCAAAGCCCCCTCAAGTGCCACCTCTGTGTCCCCGCGGCAGGACCTGAAGTACATCTTCATCCCCTCGGACATCCGGGACTACGTGATGCTGAAGTCAGCCATCCAGGGCAGCCCGGTGCCTGAGGGCTCGGACAAGGGGGACAGGTGAGCAGCCCCCCAAGATCCTCCCAGCACCTTTGGTGATGGTCTGGAGGGAGCAGGGCTTGCCTGCCCTCGCCCCACCTCTGCCGCTGGTGGGATAAACCCCAAGCAGCCCCAAGACCCCCGTGACGCGCGTTCTGCCCTTCTCCTTGCCCCGCTGCAGGCCACAGAAGTATTTTGGGCTGGAGGTGTCTGCAGAGAAGTTCAAGCTGCTGCATCCAGATTTCCTGCAGTACCTGACAGCGAGGTGAGGATGACGAGGACCGCGGCTGCTGCCCGGCTCTGCTCCCAGCTGGGCTCAGACCGCCTGCCTCCCACCGCTGCTCTCTCCAGTACAGACTGGTGGCTGCCCAGCATCAAAGCGCAGTCCCAGTCCTCCCCCGGCACTGGAACCACTTCTGCCGTGCTCTCTGCAGATCAAGCAGAGAGGTTTGTCCCCCGCCGTTCCCACCCGCTGCGGCCCAGCTCGTGTCCTCCCCCCGGCAGGGAGGTGCCCACAGCCTCACCGCAGCTCCCGTTTCCCCAGAGAAGTTCAGTCCGGATGAACAGGAGAAGGGGGGGAGCCCAAAGGGATTGTCTCTTCCTGCCCTTCGTGAACGCAGGCGCCTGGGCTGGGGCGATTTCGAGCAGCAGGGAGGTGCCTTGCGGCAGCTCGCAGTGACGGAGCTGAACCTCGGTAGCAGCCACTGGAGAATCCACAGGAGCACTGTGTTTCATGGGGTGCTTACCGGG